AGTAATAATATACCAATTATAGCAATATTCTTATCACGTCTCATATTATAATGAATTATTAGTTAATTATTATTGTCAATAAAGTTATTTATTATAATATACCTATATATTTTGAATAATAATTATTATTTTATTTTAAATCTAATTAACAATCAGTAGGTTTAATAGTGCATTATCGTAGGATCCTAGCCGAAGAGTGTGATCAAAATCTATATATACAATATCTAAATATATCTGCAACAAATTAATAAATAAAATTTAAAAAAAAGAGAAAAAGAAAAACTAATAATAATAATAATAATAACAATAATAATAATAATGATATACAGTGCTCTGTGGCACAGTTTTGGGGACTAGATAGACGCCATCTTGAAAATATGTCTCCTAAAACAGCCCCAAAATGCACTGCAATGTACAGCGCATTGAATTTTAGTTACTGAGTTCTTCATTTTTTTCTTCTTTTCTAGACCAATGGCATAAAATAAACGTAAGCCCTGTCTGCTTTGGAGCCAAAGGTTCATCATATGGGACGTTCTATGTCAAGAAGACAGGAAAGGTTCTAACATTCAAGCTTGTTCATCTATCGGGTTACGTATCATGCTCTTTTTCTTATTCCTCGGCCAAAAGCGATTGGGGCTGTGCTCCTTTCCTTACATATACAGACACATTAATGACTATTATCACCAACAACCAAAACATAAAGATCTTGCCCCAAGATGAGTTTATTTCCAGCTCCGCCCGTCTCGAGTATTCCCTGCCTGGGTTTACATCCAAGTCTCCAGAAATTGTCTTCAAGAACTTTACCACGCCTCTAGATGTCATGGCTGGTCAGGAATTTCGTATTTGGTATGGACAAGATCTGAAGAAGAGCTTAGATGGCAATAATGATGGCACTTCCTGCGCTGATGTATACGTGTATGGTTTGCTAGAGTGATCGCCGTGTGCACGTCCTACGAAAAATACGTACCTGAGCAATTTGTTTGTTTTTCGTCTAGTGGATTGCTAAGCTAGTCATTTAGTGCTTGTACCTCAAATTGATATTGGTTTGTTTTTACCTGGGCCAAATCACTTTCAAGGGACGTTGGAAAAAATGTGTTTTTTAAATGATTTCATATTTTTCTCTTCTCCTTCTCCTTCTCCTTCTCCTTCTCCTTCTCCTTCTCCTTCTCCTTCTCCTTCACCTTCACCTACACCTACACCTACACCTTTTCTTTTTCTTCTCTATCTTCTCTTCCGGATCCTCCCTTGCTCCTTGTCTCCTGTCTCCTCCTCCTCAATTTCTCCCTCTTCCCTACTTCTCAGTCCTTTCCCCTCTGTTCGACCACAATCACTACAATATCTCTTCTCTTCTCTTTATTTTCTGTCATATTCTTTTTTCATCGCCTTGCTTTGACCCTTCTCTAAGTTTAGTCCTTGGAAACGCCCTTTCACTTTTTATGTTCATTATATTGATGGTTTTCACGGTGGCCACGTTGGAGGAACTTAACAAACAAAAGAATTGTCAGTGAATTCTTTTGATATATCCTCCAACATGGCCGCCGTGTCTTTTGTTATTTAATTCCCTTGGGAATGGTTGAAAACCATCAATTCCGTCTTCACTTTTTGTTTCTCATAAATTCCTCATATACATCAGTCGTAAATATCAGCTTTATCTTATTGTAAGCTTAGCATATAAACAAATAAAGGTGCATTCCAATGCCCGCCTCTTGCTAAGAAACCGCTTCCTGACACTCCACTAACTAATACCTCAGATAATGTGTCTCCATCTCAATACTTATTTGCATGCAAATGAGCAAATATTGACTCGACAACACAACGTGCAATTAAGTGCTAATACACGTACTTTTTCAAGCGAATCAGAGCAAGTCCATTTTTGGCATATCAAGAACACTGCCGGACGAAAGGAACCCTAGTTAAACTTCACTGACTTGTAACTGGTCAAGCTGAATACAACAAAATTATGCTTGCATATAACTTCAACATGTTTGCCATAGTTACAGTGATTTATTTGTGTTTCATTAGCGCGTGTACATCGTATATCTGGGAGACTGAAAGCTTTTATGAAGATCCCTACAAGCGTAAGTGTCGAAATGTTCATCTAATTCAGTTTTTAAAACTTCTTCTGGAACCTTCACACACTCGTAACATGTCTTATGGTTAACATGATGGCTTTATGAAACCATGGTTTTCATCTCTTTAGCTTCGTTATAACTATTATATACACTTTTTATTAGTTTATTGAACTTTTAAATGAGGTGTAAGCGCAGCGTAACGAAGACGAATAATTCGTTGATATATTATAGTGTTTTTCTCGGGAAGAGTCAACACCTCGTAGGCAAAAACTCTCTACTGTTTTTCTCCATTCGAATCACAATGAACGATGTAATGAATTCTATGATCATTCCTGAATTTTAAGGTCTCAGTTTCTGGCATATTGTGAATGTGTCGGCGGCTTACTGAATTCTGCTGTTTAATTCAACATCAAACGTTGGTGTTAACCAGTGCTTGCTGTTTAAAACAATCGGTTAAACACAAGTCTATCATGAATACAAACAAAGTTAATAACTCGACTAATTAGACGAATGATTTACCGCTCCTAGCACCTTACTTTATAGCCATTTTCTCGATAATTGTAATAGCGCATGGAACAAACATTCTTTCTTAGAAGTACACTGTATTACCTAAACAGCAAACTAAAGCTACGTTTTGCAGATTTTGTACTGGATTAGTATTTTACGGAGACACGTTGCTTCTCTTTTTTTTCAAACTATCTACAAGAATTTATCAAGCACAAACCGTTTATAACTGATGCAGCATGACGACTTTACGACGACACGCAACTTTTATTAGCATTTCAAATCTTGAAGGTTAAATAAAGGTTAAACCAAAGACTTGAATTCCCCAAACAAGATGTAGAAACAGAAGCCCTATATAGATAGACACCTGTCTCGCCAGAGATTTGTCTTTATTTGCTTGCTGCTTTAGGGATGAATTCACGCCGCTAAATATTCTAATAACATTCTAAATACGTTCTTAATGGCGTGTGACATTGTCAATAGAAAGGTCTTACGCTACAGTTATCCGTAGCACTTTCATGCAACCAATCATGCGTGGCCGACGTTGTTTACTTTTTGATCACGGTCATGCACAGCCGGATGAATTAATTCACTTTAAGTCGTTTTATCATGATCCCGATTATGGCCCGTGCAATTGCCGGATCCAGGGTTAAGGTACATTAGAAGGGATCCCGTAGATCAGTTATGTATTTCATTGTTTATGGAGACAAAATTGGCGAATAAGAGAAGCGCACCAGGAGGTCTAGGGTATCCAGCTGGGTTACAAGTAAACCATTTGTATAAACCTTCTGAAAAAGTGATTGGTCTATTTAGCATATTTTATCAATAGTATCTGAACATCATCATGCACATCACTTAACTGGTTAACAATATTGACTTTTCTTCTTCCGTCATGCCCTCCAAATGTCTACCAACCTACTAACCTACCAACCTAACAGCCTACCAACCCACCAACCCACCAACCCACCAACCCACCAACCCACCAACCCACCAACCCGGCTAATTAACTTATTATCTCTCTTCCTAATGACCTTTATTTATTTATAAGTTAAACTAGCCCAAATATTTAGGTTCAGTTGCTATTAGTATATGTTTGTTTATAGTTCACTCAACAAAATTTCAGTAAAAAATGCGAAGCGACGCCGTTCATCTTTGTCTATTCAGTCCATCGCGCAACTGTAATGCATAAAAAAGATCAGTTTTTACGGCTTTAAAATTTTATTTATGTTTTTTAAGTACAAAATGATAGAAAATAATTGTTTTGACATTGTTTTGGCCGTGTTGCCATAGCGACTTAATTCGGTACTCCTACGGAGTACAATTAACGCTATAATTGTACTCCTCTCGACCAATCAGAGTCGAGTAATTTTGTTGAGTGTACTATAAATGAGTTTATAGTAAAAGTATTCTTTTCCCCCCAGAATATCAACTCATTCCTCCAATTTCCAACACCTCACAAAAGTTTGCGAGCTATTTCATGGGGCTGCGTATTTCAAGACTTTCAAGTGGCAGAATCAGGAGAGGTCCAAATCAGGGGAAGGTAAGAACACGGTGCTTGGGCGACTAAGAACCTACTTCAGCTCTGGCTTTTGACTTTATTGGTAGACGTAGGTTGAATAAGGGGCATGGGGACATGCGCTAGCTCAGTGCTACAACTGTTTCTCACCACTGTGATTGGATTCTCGGCTCGAGTTAATTAGATGTGTTGCGTTCTTTCCATTTCTTCGGGAGCTCTGGTGCTTCATCCTCCTTTCGTTGGCAACACGTGAGTTGAGAGGTGCGTGCATGGAATCTAGTGTGAGTGAAAGTGAATGTTGGTTTGAAACTTGTTTTTTTAATATTGAATAGAGATTTTGCACCATCACGTGTCCACACCCATAATACAACTTGGGCTACCTGTGGTTAGATGGCAAGACAATACAATCCCTTTGCTCTCTGGAATTGAACAAATTTTTCTTCTTATGTGAAACGATTATATTGTTCCTGCCATCTGTTATGACTGCCGTCACGTGATGGTGCAAAACCTTTATTTGATCATTGAAACTATGATTAACTTAATTGAAGTTTTACAGCAGCATCTCGTTTTTTGTATTGTAGGCAAGTAACATAGTCTTCGTTCTGGACTCATCTTCCTCAGTCGGGAGAAGACATTTCCAGCAAGAGGTGAAAGCAATCCACACCATGGTAGCCAAATCAAGAGACGATAACCGGTATGGTATTGTTGTATTTTCAACCGATGCTTTCATCCAAATGAACTTTGCAGACAAGAGGACCACACTGAAGAAACTAAAAAAAGTGCCTTTCATTCCTGGAAGAACTAACATTCAAAAGGGACTTTTACTTGCAAAGACATTGTTTGAAGACCCCGAATCAAACAAAACTAAAGGTGCACTCAATAAGGTAAGAATTAGGAAAGGAATAAAGATGAACATATGATTGGGATTTTGGATCTCATGATCAAAATTCGTGTTCAGTCTCTAAAGCGACTGCTGCAGTTATTCATGCTAGTTATTAATATTCTGCGCCCTAGTACTATAGGGTATATCCGTTGATTCCCATCAAATCATGATGTTTTTTGTTATTGATGATGATAATAGTACATCAAAACTAGAATTCGAAAGGAAACACACTTGCCGGTCACTTTCATTAAGCTTGGTCGATGATTTTGACAAGCCAAACAGCCCAAACAACAAGAAAGTTTTTTAATGATAAGAAGACGAATAATTAACTGCTGAACTTCTGATATTGGTTATGTGCGGTGACATGACAGGCATAAGTTCTCGTAGTTAATGATCTGGCCTGGAGAACATAAAAGCCTCTGTAATATAACATCTAATAATATGGATAAAAGGGTAAGTGTAGCATTTTTGGTTTTGGAGATAACTAGATAAAAACTAGTGTGAGCTGCCTCGGTGTTTCTAATGAAACAGTAATGATAAAAGGGTGATTTTACACTGTGAAAAGTTCTTGAAGAAACTTACTGACGTTTCGGACGCTAGTCCTTCGACGGAGTAAAAGAGAAAGAGGTGGTAGAAAGGAGTGTTTATATACTGAGAACAAAACAAAAGAAGCCAATGCGAACAAGGTGGGCAAGGAAACGAAAGAAACAATCAAAAGACAAAAGAGTGGGTTAGTTAAAAGCAAAGCGTTCATTAATCCCGTTGGGACAAAAGCTGACAAACAGTGCTCTTTTACTCCGACGAAGGACTAGCGCCCGAAAGCAAGATTTTTCATCTTTTCACGATGTCAAATTTAGGAATACATACTTGAATAGTTTAACTAAATGTCATAGTATAACGAAATTAGAGTTAAACGAAGACGCGAAAAACTGGAAAATGACTAATCAATGTAATTCAAGAAAGAGAATAAGGAAGGAGAAAAAAGAAAGAAAAGATTAAAGAAGAAAAGAAAAAGAGAAGGAAGGGAAGGGAAGGGGAAAGAAAACGAAGAAGAGAACAAAAAAACAAAATGAAAAATAAGAAAAAATAAGGAAAGGCGGAGAAACCTTTTACAATTGAATAATGTTACAGAGCCACCAAAGTGCTTATTGCTGCAGTAATGAACCTCCTTTTAATGTTAAAACATTTTTCTGCAGGTCCTCTTGATCACTGACGGATTATCGAACGTACAAAAGGAGTTGACCCTTTACCGCGCATTTGAGTTGAAGATGATGGGAGTTCAAATCTACGTCGTTGCTGTCGGCAGATTTGTGTACGGCATTCCAGAATCTATTGGCCTGGCTACTACATCTCTGAGGCATCTCTTCCGAGTGCGAAACATGAAGGCGTTTCTCAACGTTGCAAGAATGATTCCCAGCGTGCCCTTCCGATCCGCACTTCATTGACAGGGTAATTAGTAGTCTGCAATATTCCTGCCTGGACATTTCTCAGGGTACAGGAGATGCAAACCTGTAATTTCGTCAGGTCGTCGGGTAATTTGTAGATATATTATTGGCAATAAGTTGACGGCAACTTTCCATATGTAGAAGACACCTTTAGTCTAGTATTGGATACAAGAAAATGACTAAAAGGACCTTTATGAGGAATGATTGATATGGAAACAACTGTCTATGTGTACTAGAAAGTAAAACGAGAGCTTTTAAGATCCAGATGCATGGATGCATGGGTCCGCTATATATTTTGTTATGTTTTGGCTTCCGCGTATGAAGTTTCAATGTTATATGAGTTCATAGTATAGACCACTGTCGATCTTCGTCAATATACAAAGAAATCCCATTACAAGCCTCCAAATGTTAAATGTTTATATATACCTTGAAACAACCGGCTCAGGGTTCAGGGTTCAGTCCCGGCTTGGTTTTTCTTGATGGAATTTGTGACCTTAGTTAGATTGCTGTTGTTTTCTTCTTATTGTTTTTGTTGTATTTTTTTAAATGTTGTTTTGTCATGTTAACTTTGAATTTGCATCCAACATAATTTTGTCTGAGAGGAGTTTATATATTTGGAGACAATAACGATTAACAAGTTGTCAAAGTCAGCTCCTACTATGCAATGTTTATTGTCAGCCATTATTTTCGTCAGATATTTAGGTGTATATAGGATAGAAATATAGTTATATAAGACATAGCCTGCAGAGCAGACGTTCTTGTGATGGGTTTGAGGAAAAATCGGGGTTTTGGGGTTCCTGTTTCGACTACGTGCCCGCGAGAAAAATGGGACCTTGCAAAAAAAAAAAAAGGAATGCATATCTCCTTGCTCGGTTTCAATTCTCGCTCGTTCCAAATGTCCAAAGTTCCCCCAAAACCCCGGTTTTTACCCAAACCCACAAGAACGCCTGCTTTGCAGGCTATATAAGATAAGGTAAGCTTCAATTTTTGTAGTTTATACTGATGCATAACCATGACATCAGCAGAGTCGTAATAAAAAGAATAACATGAAGGTGACCTCTAGTTAATCGACATATGTGATAAATGTCAGAAGACTAGAAAAGTTTTCTATTCAAAATAAAATGAGTTGTAATCAACTGTAAAAAACAAGTGTCAAAAACATTAAATGATAGATAACACACTTGAATCAGAGCTTAGTCACTGGCTGTATGCTATATTATTTGAAACGAAAATGAATACATAATAGAGAGTTTTAGATTGACATTTTTTTTCTCCCCGCAAACGGCAAACGTTGACCACGTTTTCATAGTTTTCCTGTATTTTACTTTACCTTTTACAAACCTTCTCACCAAGCGCAAATACTCTTGTTTTTCTACTACTTGGACTTTTTTGCGATTCTTTTTCGGTAATTTAAAAGAATTGCTTACTGGTCAACTGACGTTTCACGTTTGCCGTGAACGTAAATCTAAAACTCTCTTATATTAAAAATGAGGTATTCTAACGAAAAGACTGACTGCTAAATTGGTACTGATATTCTATGCAGAGAGATACGCATGCGCAATTTTGACGACAACACGACAGGACCCAATGCAAAGCAACGCAAAGCAACGCAACGCAACGCAACGCAACGCAACAGGGGGAAAAAGGAAAGAAAAATAAAGAAACACAGCACAAGGGGGAGTAGAACAAAGAAACACAAACAGGGACACAAAGAGAAGAGAAGAGAATTATGAAGTAACGGTTACAAATCTCGCGTTCTGATTGGCTGTGAGCGCGTGCTTTATGAGTGCACACAGCCTACACGCGCGCTCACTTTCAGTTGCGTCATTCCTATCTAAAATAACGATTATAGTAAATTGTATTTTATAAAAGAAATAAAAAACTTGCTTGCAGTGCTGTGTGAACTAAAGCACTTGGGGATTGGCAGATCACTCGAGATCCGCTACGCGTCGTGCTTCTCTTAACACTTCTCTCGTGTTCTGCCAACCCCCGCGTGCTTTATGACAGCACACAGCACGCGCGCGCGTTTTCTGTTTCTTCAATACAAGATAATCAAAAAACGTGGGCCCTTTTTCTTCTCCAAAAGGTAACTAAGGAGATTACAATACAAACTAATAGAACAAGTCAAGTCTGCATCTAGTTTTCTCTTATCGATGTATTTGTCATCGATGTTCAAATGGAACTGGTCTTGGTTAAATCAATCAAAAGTCTTTCCTGGTTTTAGGGCTTGTGCCGACACAATTACCGGTCGGGTTTTTCAGTCTCTTTGTTATATAATTGAGCTGCTTTACTTAGAAGAGAGTAGTGAATATACGGAAAGCTTAAGGGAAAAAAGCGTTTTCTTTCAAAGATTGTTTATACTTAGTGTGATGGTAATCGATCTCAAGGTGAAGACGTTGTTCAGRAACTCTGGATTTGACTTCTCAGTTCAGTCATAATCGCCGTTATCTAGACGTATTTAGATTTTTAATTCTTACCCAAACCCAAACTTAAGATTTGTTCTCAATAAATGAAGAATGTTGATGAAGTTATCCTTTTTGTAGAAGTATAAATCAAGAGTCTGTTTTTCTCTTGTGTTTTTCTTTATTGAAATTTGCCGAAAACTTCGAAGTTTAAAAGTTTCATTTTTAAGGAGAGATTTTTTTGTTATGAAGTATTTTTCAAGAATATAGATAATTTATTTTTCAAGTTCAAGGAAGTGTTTTATCTCTATTTCATTCTGTTTGAATTTCTCGACTGTATACACCTACTTGCAAGACCTTTGTCATACGAAAATAGAACATTAGTGATTTAGTGGGATAGGAATTATATTAAAAAACAAAAAAAGATCACTGAAGCTGAACTTTTTCTTTTGTCTTTTAATCTTTCCTTTCTCACTAAATTACTAATGTTCTATTCTTGTATGACAACCTTCTTGCAAGTAAGTGTAAATTAAAATCGAAAGCTTAAAATAGTCCTTCTAAATGGCTTGCTATAAATAAGTTATTCACAGTCATATATTTTTTTAAGTTCATCGACGCGAGCCTTAGGCAAGTGGCAAAACAGAAATAAGCTCTTTCCTACACGACTTCAAACAAACGAATATTCAACGCGCGCGCATGCGCAACCACGTCTCCTCTTTGTCCATGTTTCTGTTATAGAATACTTCGAAATCATCCCTAAAGTGATTCATCCCACGTTTTCTGAGTAATCTGAGCCATCTAGCTTTAAACATCAGTCAGTAACATTTTTTGCCTATCTTAATTCTAATGGTCTCCGAACTCATTTCCGTTGTTGACTGGAGTTAAAATAGCTTTACTCTGTCGGCGTCCCCACAAAACTGATTCGCCATTTTTCGTTTGGGGACATTAAGAATACCGAAGACATACAGATCAAGGACAATTCTATTGTGAGTAAGATTTTTTAATGCCACTTTATTGTTTGGCTCGTGGAGTAACAAAGCTAGTTATTGCTATGGCATTATGATGAAATAATATCTTTTCGCCATATATGCGTTGGTTGTTGACCTTTTCTTTTGGTACCGGACTTTGAGTTTAATGTTTTAGCCGATAAAAGAATCTGAGCACATTGGCAACATTGACAACCAAATATCTCTTCAAAACAGTTGGTTTAGAAAGTTTTTTTTGTACAGACCCGTTCCAGCTCTAATAATTCTTGGCTTAAAAAGAATTCAACAAATAACAATTCTTAGTTTTGTAGTCTTCGACCAACACTAAACACGGATGCGAGGGAGACTATTAGTTTTGTGAATGAAAAAAAAAAAAAAAAGGTTACGTAAAATTTAAGATATAGGCACTAATAATTTACGTACATTCAGTTTTTTCTTAAAACAACGCAGAATCTATACTAACTAACTCGTTTAAGCTGGATAACATCTTTATCAAAAAAGAATATCAAAGTCTCCTTTTCTATCAGAATAAAAATAATAAATAAACATAAAATATAACAAACCATTGTTTTACGAGGGTGGAATTTAATGAGCTATAGGTGGGCTGGCTAACAAACCTGTGTCCCTTGTCCTGTGATTGGAATGCAACGGCATCTTGAAATTAATTGTGGACTTGGATAGGAGGCTTACATGGAAATACAAAAGAAATGACACAAATTCCATCGGGAAAAAGTGTGATTTCTTTTGTATTTCCATGTAAGTCTCGCATTCAAGATAATTTCAAAAGCCGTTTTTCGAATGCAGTTTTAATTGAATCAAGCTACAGTTCAAATTTTACTTAAGTTTTGGAATGCACTTACTGCTGATCTAAAAAATAGTATAAATATTTATGGTTTTAAGCGTTGTCTTTTTAAAAGGATATTTAATAAAGATTAGATTAGTATTTGTAGCTTTTATAGATTATCCTTATAGATTTCGAATAATTAAAGTGTTCGTATATAGTTTTGATAATTATATTATATGTATATAGTGTTAATGGATTGTAAATTATTTTATACTTTATTTCTATTATATTGTGACTGAAAAGTCCTGTCAAAGGGAGCTTCAGTAAAGTATGTATGTATGTATTCATCTCATTGCCATTGTTATCGCCACCCGGTTAGCTCAGTTGGTAAGAGCGTCGGTCTGTTGTGCGGGAGGTCGTGGTTCAAGCCTCGGCCGGACCAACACTCAGGGTCTTAAAATAACTGAGGAGAAGGTGCTGCCTTTGTAATTACATCTGCAAATGCACGTGGCTCGGATGATCACGTTAATGGCGGTCCCCGTCCCTAATTAACTAGAGACGTTAAAAGAGGACCACGAGTTTATCAGTTGAATTACTGTCAACTGTTATCCTCTATAAACAAAGTTTATTATTATTATTATTATTATTATTATTGTTATTATTATTATTATTATTATTTATTGCTTTTTCGTTACTTTTACGACTTTGTTGAGTTGGCGATTTAGTTCATTTTAAAAAACGCAATCTCCTTATACGAATAATGCCGAATAGCGCCTTAACCTAGCTTAACATAGGGTATTATCTCCTGATATTGTCTAGTTTATTGTCAGTTAGAACCACACAATCTGCCTGCTTGATCAATGTCACTCAAGATTGTATACGTACCGTCCATTATCTCAGAATTTGCCGTCACTTCCCACGTTTCATCATTCCAGAGTACAAGCGTCTTACGTTGTTTTAAAGTGTTTTGTCAATGTTCTATAGGTTGTCAAAAACGTCCTGATATAAGCGTTTTAAAATCTAGTGTCATCCTTCATATAGGAAGAATAAATCAAATTAACCCTCTTTCATTGAGATTTTGAGGGTCTTTTGTTGTTTATAAGGAAGGAAAGGACGTACTGAGTGACCAGCACCCTGGATTTATTTTACTAAAAGTTAAAAAAAGAAAACTGAGTTCAAATGCTTTCTACATCTAACCGGCAAAAGTATTCTATTTATTTTACGACTAGCATTCCACTTCTGAAGAATTAACGTTTTCTGTACATGCTATTTAGTAAAAAAATGTATCCATTTATTTCATTTCTTGTGTAGTCAAATTGTTTCCTGCTGTAACAAATCTTAGAGCAATTTCGGCAACTCTGTCGGGTGCGAAATTCGGCCTCATTTAAAGCTTAGTTGGTGTGCGTCTTCCGAACGATTAAAAAATAATCAACACCAATCAAATTTTATGCCTAGTACTTAATTATTATGCCAGAAAGCCTGGAAATCACCTTCCTGCCAGAGGGATTTATCGGCAACGTACTCATATCTTAAATTAGCTTTAAAAATCTTCTAGGCTTTTCATCCATTCAAATTTGTATACTGTAACAGATTATTTTTCTATCGTTGCTTAATATCTTTATATTGTATAGGAAATGAGAAACCTTTAATAGTTATCTGATTGACTTGCCTAAGACTGTAGCTGAGCTGGACGTGACTTTTGGCATGAGTTGTTTAGTGGTGAGAAATCTTGTTACTCAGTCAGAGCTCGAACCAAGTATATCTACCCAAGAGAATAACAGGTGGTCGGAAATAGACCCCCGGCATATAACGTCAAAGCAGCTCAACTGGATGACATGTCCCCCAAATTAAGTTGCGTTCCGACGTGCTGCAAGGGGTCTATATATAGGAAACATTAATTAATAACCCTAGTTCAGTAAAAAAGTCCAATGATACGTTTGCTCAAAACCTATTTGTCATAGTGTCATCTTTCAATTCATTTATTAAGATATAGACCCATTGCATTGATTTCCTA